GAAATAGTGGGCTTTTGTGGAGATGGATTTATTTATTATTTTGATTACAAGGATTATTATGGTTACAGTTAAACCGAATAAACAAGTTTAAATAGGTGTTTAAATTGTTTAATTACACATAGAATGGAATGACCTGGATTTCATGCATTAGAAACACAGGACACTGAATGTATATTTTATAAATATATAATATATATATATATATATATATATTTATATGCATCAACTAGATAAAGGTATTTTATCTACACTATATTTCCACGTCCAAAAAGTCAAATGCCTCGTAAGATTTTCTGATTTCAATCTCTAATATGAAGTTGAGCCTAATCTTCCTTGTTTACTGCTGTTCTGACGCAAGTTCACTGCTTTAAAACATCCAGAGTTCTCTACCAACCCTGCACTGGTACCTTAGAAACACATTTTTCCTTCCTGATACGAGAATGATTTAAATTAGCTTATAATGTACTTGCGTCATGAAGAGAAATATCACAAGGATGTTTGGGCTAATATACGTTTGTATCCCGCTAAACAATTCGATCAGCTTGTTCCAGCAAGCAGTTCCTTTCGATCACAATTTGTCCTATTAAACACAAACATTCTCTTCTTCTATACTTTTTGTCGGTAAATGCGTTTTAAATTAAAAAGTATGAAAAAAGAATTCAGTAAGTTCAAATTTTTGGTAAAAAGTCCATCTTAATTTTATGAATATTTGTCAGTGACTAGCTTTGATAATATCAAAATAATATATTCAAAAATATATATCTCTTAATTTTAATGTAATTTATTTAGTTTTGCAATAGTAAATTCACTTATCTATGCAAATCTCAAATTTGCAAGGTTTGCAAGAATGTCTGAACTGTCATAAATGTGCAAAAGCGCAATTTTTCAAACTTTAGGAAATATACATCCTGTAAAAAAATATTTTCGCAAATCAACTTAATCTGGAACCCCTCTCCCGGTTTTTTAGAACTGTTTGTTATTACAAATCTTAATAAGATTAAGATTAATAAGATCAATAATCTTAATAATGGTCTTTTATTTTAATACTTGAAAAATGGCTTACACTATACAAAGCTCAACCGGCTTAACTTTTTCAACTGCATAGTTTGTTAAACAAATTTATTTTTGTCTAAATTTTGTTGGTCGGTGTTTCAACTGAATCAAAAATGACCAATAACTTTTCTATAAATAAGTTTCAGATTTGAAAATTTTTCAATTGATAACCAATTGAAAAATTCATGCAGAAAGATCAAACTTGTCAAATTTTAATTGTCAAGAGTTAAAAAAAAGTTTCCAATATTTTTCCGACCTACTCTTTCAATTTTTCAAAGTTTTCAAACAAACATAATTTTTGAATATTATATTAAAAAATTAAATTAAGAAACAAATTTTAAAAAATGTTGCTAATGTATATTTACAGTGTGTCAAGAGTTAAAAAAAATGTCCTATATTTTTCCGACCTGCTAGACTCTTTGAACTTTTTAAAAACCTCAATAGCACCCTAACCATCTAAGTTATAGGTCTATTTTTCAATGAGTTGGTCTTTAAAAGTTGAACTAGGAACATGTATCACACGTCCCTATCTCAAATCTAAGGGGAAAGTCATAACCATGAAGGCCCCAATCTTCATTTATTTGACATAAATAACACAAATTCGTGATAGGGTTAAGTTAAAAATCAAGATAAAAAAGTATGGACAATTTGATCCTGAAACGTACTTTGCTTGCAAGATTTTCTTAAAAATAATGCTAACCATGAAAATTATCGCTGCAAAGTTACAAAATGACTCTTTTTTATGAAATCATAAAATATTTTCTTTCAAAACATTTGAATATAAGTAAAATGAAAAGATTTCAAAATATTGAATTTAATTAAATCTTAATAATTAGTTGAAATCATTTAAAACTAATATCATTTCAGGATGTTAAATATATCAATTAAAACATTTTTGAAAATTTAAATAAAATCTTGCATGTATGTTTTTTATGATGTTAAAAAGATTAATCATATGAAAATATAATAAGCTTCTTCTTTAACAAAAATGAACTATTTCGGAATTTTGAAAATTTTTCCAACAACTGAAAAACAGCAAAAAGACAAGGCAAAAAAATTTACAGACTCCACAGATATCTATATCAAAAATATTAAGGCAACCCCATTCCTGTCTTCCCATGGATGTACCTAGAAAAACGTTCAAAAAACGCTACATAGATAAAAAGCTAACTCAAATAACTAATAATCAAAAAAAAATAATTCTGAAAGTCGGTCACTCCCTTTAAACATTACCTAATATATGTAAATACGGGTTTGGATGTTGTTGATTAACTTTTTAACTGCCCAGTTCATAATTATAATTAACCTTCTGTTTGTTTAAAATGTGTTCCAACTTTGACGGCAATCATATTCCACATTTTAAAGTCAAACGTCAGTCAGTAGTTTTCATCATAATTTTTGAAAACTTATGACGCACGGACGTATAAATAATATCATGAATTAAATCTATAAAAAATAGAAATAACAAATATAAAATTAGAATTGGAGTAAACCTAAGTTACAATTAGCTCTCTTTATGATATCATCGTTTTCAGTTTGGTTGCATATTTGCTGAATTTGATCTTTTTAAACCCACTACTTTTATACAAAATTTGTATATATATTAATTTTCGTATAAATTTGACAAAGTTGTAAATCAGTTTCTCAAGATAGGAATATCAGATATAATTTTCATGGGTCGCGATCGAGAGCTAAAGTGATTAGCTTTCAGCCTATACCCCCTTTCATTTTTCCTTTACAGTCCCTTTAAACACTAGCTAATATATGTAAATATGGGTTTGGATGTTGTTGATTAACTTTTTACTGCCCAGTTCATAATTATAACCTTCTGTTTGATTAATATTTAACTTTGACGGCAATCATATTCCACATTTTAAAGTCAAACGTCAGTCAGTAGTTTTCATCATAATTTTTGAAAACTTATGACGCTCTTTTATTCCAATAGGTTTGCAACCCTTTCAAATTGTTTTATTTCTCATGGAAATCAGCAAGTTTATCGAATTGGGCAATCCTATCACTAGGAGAACAAAATTTCCAAACTGTGGTTCGTTCCATTTACTTTTTGCATAATGCAAAAAGCATCCTTGAGGTGTCCTATCAGGAAAAATATTCAGCAAAAGTAGTTCGGTAATGTTTTAGAACCTTCACTATTTTTATTCAAAAACTCATGCTCCCGTTAATGTTAATGTTTATGTTAATGTTGAAGATTAATTTCGTCGTTAAGATATTACAATTGACCATTTCCAACCCCTTCTCCCCATTCAAGTTTGAAAATTAAAGTATTAGTATATAAAAATAAAAATTACAATTTATTATCCAATCTAAAGTTCAAAACCTAGTGTTATGATAATTTGATAGAATAGCGATTTTTTGTCTTTACTATAGCGTTTTATCTGATAGCGTTTTATGAGTATGGCGTTTTATCTATGTAGCGTTTAATATGCCTGAGTTTACACTCTTCTTCCTTGTTTAATTATTTAAATCTAAATTTAGTTTTAGAAAATTGACAGGTTTGAATTCTTACCCGATACTTCCATAGATCTATCTATGGATACTTCAAGCTTATTTTAAAACGATAGAAAATTGTTAAAATTGAACTTGCCAAGTCAATAATTTAGAAACTAAGAATAAAAACACTCTGGTATGGAAAGACGACTTTTAGACTCAAGTTTTAACTATGAACAGTCCAAAGAACATGACGCATAGCAATTTTGCAGTTTAAGCAGACTCATTTCACTGAAAGAGTGATTTAATAAGTCACAAATAAAACTATTTTTTTTGCAACAACATCAAATATAATGTCGTCTTCATTTTCCAAAGTTTTCTGGTTCTCCCTAGCTGTATCTAAACATTTTAAAGAGGAAACTCTGTATAGAATAGATATTGATTCTGTAATATCATTTACCATGTAATTAAAAGCAGACCCGGGCAATTAATAATTATAATAGTTGTCTAGTGGTATACAACTACAAGACTACTTTACAAACTACACTTAACAACATTAACAACATTATAACAAGACAGCAGAGGACAATAGAACAAAATAGGAATATGCAAGAGTATAATTAGAATTTCATTAATATTAATCAAACATGAAGACCCATTTCATACTAATGTTTGGTTAGACATTGACAAACTTATTTTTCTAGATGACAATAAAATATCTTGTTTAACAGTGATAACTAGAAAAGTCTGGAATAGAAAGGCGACCTTTAGATTCAAGTTAAGACTTTAAATATTACAATGAACATTATGGCACAGCAGTTGTGCAGTTTAAACAGATACATTTCACTTCATAAGCGATTTGACAGCTTGCTAGTAAAACTTTTTGCTTTGGAACAACATCAAATGCACTTTAGCATTGATTTAGTGTCGTTGTCCTCTACATTTATACTGTAGTACAAAATTAAAGTAAACGAAATCAACATTTATTTTAAATGCTGAGTTATCCGTTCTTTATTTCAAAATAGATCTAATATTTATGAAAACTAATTAAAAAGATATAATTTTAAGGATTTTATATCAGCAACCTTCTGTTGATAGATCGTGAATAATTCTTAAAAGCTGTGAACAGTCTCTTAGTTTGGTTTCACTTGCCATAATATGGTTGCCATAAATACGTTTTCCATAATCACACTTGCCATATAATACTTTTTCCATTATTGTAACACTTTTTCCATAACATTCTTATGTATTTCAAAGTAGAAATTAAACTTTTTTTTATAAATGCAACAAGTTTTCATGAAATGCCCAACTTAATTTTGTTTACTAACTGGTGAAAATCAGAATAGTTGCGTTCCATATTTTCACAATGCAATAACATAAACACATACTTAGCTAATTCATCTTCAGATAGTTAGATATAATTAATTTTGATTTTGGCAAGCATAATTCTGGCAAACTTTTTTTTGACAAATGGAACTGAGCCCTTATTTTTCATATTTCAGATGAACTAAAGATCTGCAGCAGAAGATGAGAGGATGAGAGAATGAAAGGTATTCAAATTTAATTCAAACATCTCTATTCTAAAATTCAAAACCCTTCTCAACTAGGGATGGGCAACTTTGGTTTTTAAATCTTTCGAAATTTTTGTTAAAGGTTGTCAAAAAAACGGAATAGCTTCTCATCTTAAACGATGCCTATTTATATGTAAGAACAATTCGTGAATAAAAAAACGAATATCAATACTTTTTCAACTTTGAATGAAAGCTTTTTGGGAAAATATTTAACCTGAGAAGGGAATTTATTTTTTATAAACTTTTTTTCTTGTTTTCGAATCGTAGAACAAAACTGAGTAACATTTTTTATAATTTTTCCAAATTTTATTTTTCGATCTCAATTTTGACAATTTGGTCATTTAAAACCTCGTTAACATCGTTAGAATTCTAGAATTAATTATCTTAAATTATCTTGGCATTTCCAAATTGTGGTTTTCTTGTTGTGCTTTCAATTACCAAAAATTTCCTGAGGATTTCGACAATTTTGGCTTTTTTTAATAAAATTTAAATCTAAACAAAATTCTTAATATATCCGGTAATATTGACAGCACAAGAAAGGCAGACCACATTTTGGAAATACAGGTTTGTGAGAATTTTGTGGTTTTTGTTTTAAGAATCATACATTTTAAAGTAGATTGACGACTGAATGTCCCAAATAAATTCAAAGATAAAAGACGACTTTCAAGTCGTCTTGCTACTGTAATGTTTTGTGAAACAACTCAAAAATTTAAATAAATCACTAATTCAAGGAAAAATTGTTGACCATCAAAATTTGTCTTTTTTTTTAAATACTACGTAGTACATATATGTGGTTTATAAATACTTGAACAGTTAATATTAGAGCAAATAAATTTTAATGAACTCTCCATTTAAAGAGTGACATTCCCGATTCACAACGGTACTCTTGAAACCTTAATCTGATTAAAGAGGGTTAGATAACGTCGATTGAAAAGTGTTTAATTCTGTTAATTTCTTTTACAGAGTACCACAAATGAAATAATCAGGTTATTTTACTTTATCAGTGAAATATTTGAAGGGTATTGCTGTGAATTAAACATGTCAAAAAATCAATAGAGGGTCAATTATGTCTACAGTCATACCCTTTAAAAAGAAAAATGTGAGACTAGTTCTTCAAAAACGGAAGAAAAATTTAAAAATATGTTTTAAAAAATATCCCCCCTCCTACCCAACAAAAAAGCACAAACAAACACAGACTTAAAACATCAATTAGTTTAGCATAAATCAATATTTCATAAAGTTGTCCCAATTGTTGTGAAAGATTGATGATTTATGAATCTAAAAAGATCAATTGCTTAATTTAGACAAAGATGTTTTCTTGTTCCTTGTTCTTTAATTACTTTACATCCTAGTTAGTTGTTTCAAGTTTAAACATTAAAGTTGGAAACTAATGGATTGTATGTCTGAGTTTACACTCTTCTTCCTTGTTTACTTCCTAGTCAGCTGTTTCAAGTTTAAACATTAAAGTTGGAAACTAATGGATTATATGCCTGAGTTTACACTCTTCTTCCTTGTTTACTTCCTAGTCAGCTGTTTCAAGTTTAAACATTAAAGTTGGAAACTAATGGATTATATGTCTGAGTTTACACTCTTCTTCCTTGTTTAATCTCAGGTACAGGTACTGAGAATTGTCGCTTCCTTTAGACTTCTAAGACTACTACTTCGCATGATTCTGCAAAAATCAAGCATTATCTGCCCAAATTTTATGTGGGACCTCACATTACGCCCAGGAAGGTTTATGGATGATAAAAATTTAAAAAAATAGCCTCCTACAAAATTTTAATTTCATCAAATTTTAAAAATCCACGTTTTTTTGTAAACAATGTATACAAAGAGAAAATGTTCACAATTGAAATAGAAGGTGGGCGCGAAGCACCCTGAAAGCCATGTATATTTAAATGTATCACATGACAAATAACTTCCATTTATAGGCAATGCAAGAAATCAAGAAATAACATTGTAAAGTTGATAATGTATAATATGTTGGCTTGGCATAGAATTAATTAGAATTTTAACATAGCTTTTTAATTGCAGTATCGTTTCGTTTATGTGCATTAGGAATTCTAAGAGTGTAATTTGATAAACCTTGAAATGTTAATTTCAAGAAAAAAAACTCAAAAAGACTTTTGTTCTTGCAGTGAGACCCATAAAATATGAAATTTGAATATGACTGGTAGCCTCAAGTTTTTATCTCAAATAATCCTATGAAAACAATTGTTCAACGTGTATGCAGGCCATTTTCAAGTTGATTTTCGTGTAACAAGAAAAATTATTTTCAATTTAAAACAACATTAAAAGAAAATTATATTGCATAAATGTTGTTTTTGTATCCCACAGTTTTATGTGTACAACTGTGTATACTGTATATGCAGTAATCTATTATTAAAGGGACTGTAAACGTAATTTCATGTGACCATCTTGGCATGTCTGACTCCCAATGGAACCTTTAAAAGCTTTGTCTGATTAAGATTAAGTGATATAGTCTAGTTCTTTTTCAGATACATTTTTTTCTAAATTTTATAGTGGCATTTATGAGTCTTAACGTTTTGAATATTAAAATCTACATTTTCTTCTTCGATCTTGGTTCGATTTAGATTTATTCTAGTTTTGAAGCTGGGAAATATATTCCTGTTAATATTTCTACCTCTCTAATCATTTCTCATTCTGAATTCAGGTTCTACTATATAGTACACTCTAACATACTAATGCAGTGCAATTTATCATACAATTTATTCGCGGCTAGAAGACAAATAACTTGTTTCTATTAGTTTTCAAACATTTATTCATTTGTATGTAATATGTATGTATTGTATAACTTTAGCTTGGGAACACAGCTTTGTTGGAAGAACATTTCCGTATTTCTACCGAATTCCCAAATCGAAACTTAGGGCAAATCGGTCAACGGGTTATAAACCTATGATCGGACATCTAAACAAGCAGACAGACAGAGATTACTACTTTATATATTCTATGTTATAAAGGTTATATTTTTTATTGTAAATGTCACACTTTAGTGTGTCCCCAATCTGACTCTTGAATTTGCATCCTCACTATTTATCATTCTTATTAATATTTCAATATTAGTGGATCCCTGTAAGTGCGTTCTCAAGCACCAACGGTGGACATTTATTTATCCGAGCTGTTCCAACCTTTGCGGTCCTAGTTTGGACTGTACCACCAATTCACAATTACTAAATTATGAAATATAATGACTTATTTTCAATAATAAGAGTTCATTTTTTTCTCAACCTGTTTCTTTAAACGCCATTTTATTTTCTTTGAAATTTTTGTTACATTTTTCGTTGTTATTATTAAATAAAAAAAAGATTTTTGAAATTTATCTCCAAAATGGACAATCCGGGGTAATTTTAAAAATCAAATTATATCTCTTTTTTAACATTTTTAAACTGTAAAAACGTTCTACAGGTCTCAAATGAATACTAAAAAAATCTTTAAAATACTGCACTCTCATATCAACTCCTATATCTAGCCGGTCACTCTCTTTAAACTTTTGAATTAAACTGCCAGATATGTTCATAATAAACCACAAACTCATATTTTTTTTCGGAAATGAATAAAATAAATACGTTTTAGCTGTAATATTCAGCTCTTACAGCTTTTGAAAAAATTCTAGAATGGTGATTTTAGCGATTAATCAAAAAAACTTCAAATATTTATTTGACACCCTTTCTTAATTTTTGTATTTATAACCCAAATGAAATGAATTTAAAGTACCACTACAGTCAAGAAAAACTGAAATTACAACAAATGTACAGGCCAAAGAGATGCCATATCACATATTCATGTTTAGACTGTGTGGTTTTGTATGAGAATGTACGGGAACTGTTTTCTTCAACTTGTATCCAGTATCATTCTAGTTACATCAGGTAAACATAGTAAATTCAGGCAAAAATTTGTAAATTCCGGTACACCCTTGGTAAATTTTGCTATATCTTGGTAAAATATATTGAAACTGGTAAATTCACGTTACTTGTATGTAAGTTCTCGTAAACATTTGGTAAATTCTGGTAAAAAATGGTAATTTTTGGTAAAAATTGGCACATTATAAAACAATAGCTAGAGTGCCCGGCGTTGCCAGTGGAGTAATAAAAACACATGGACATTTTTATAAATTTTGAAAAAAATAGATAATTTTTTAGAATCTCTTACCCCTGGGGTACTACAGGGTTCCCGTCAAAAATATCATAAATTTGTAAATTCTGGTAAAAACTGGTAAATTATTATTTTTAGACGTTGGCAAATCCTCGCGAGATCTTATAAAATATTTGTGTTAGTAAAACAGTAAACAATGCTGCAAAATAAAAGAAGCCGGTACCACTTTTTATAGCTTAACATAACAATGAACTCTGGTATTTCCTTTTAGTAACTTCTAATAACCCTCAAAATGATTCAAGTATCATTTAAACCATTTCTGCTTTTATCGTAAATGTTAAATTATAAATTGTAGATAATTGAATTGTTTATTAAAAATATTTTATGCTAACCAAAGAAAATTATTCCATATTTCACATTTTTTTTCTTGGAAAACGAAAAATTTCTTTCTTTCATGACATTAGATCTGAAAATTGCAGTATCTCTGCAACGAGCATTAAAGTGTCATTACTTCGTGCACTGCTGCAGTGAAATAACAGTTTACATTTTAAATTCTGCTTAAAGAAAATACGCAAAGTACAAATTTATTTTTTTATTTTTGTTTCGTGTAAAAAGTTTTGCAAAATTAAATTATATTAATTATTTATTATAGAAAAGTAAAATGGAAATTTGATTAAATAATTTTTTTATGGTTTTATATTAAAACATACCAAATTCCAATTATAATTGGAACTTTTTGATTATTACATTAAATTACTCGCTAGCGGGAGGCAACCCTTGAATAGTTAAAGGATATATCAAAGGATGTTTAACCCTTGAATAGTTAAAGGATATATCAAAGGATGCATAACCCTTGAATAGTTAAAGGATATATCAAAGGATGTATAATGCATGAATAGTTAAAGGATATATCAAAGGATAACCCTTGAATAGTTAAAGGATATATCTAAGAATGTATAATTCTTGAATAGTTAAAGGATATATTAAAGGTATAACCCTTGAATAGTTAAAGGATATATCAAAGGATGTATAACCATTGAATAGTTAAAGGATATATCAAAGGATGTATAACCCTTGAATAGTAAAAGGATATATCAAAGGATGTATAACCCTTGAATAGTTAAAGGATATATCAATGGATGTATATAACCCTTGAATAGATAAAGGATATATCAAAGGATGTATAGTATAACGAGAAAAACTATTTATTACTAGTAAATTGAGTATTGGAAAATATAATGGTTGGTTACATTAACAAATTAGACGGATAAGATATTCACCATATTTACTCATTCGTACTCAATTCTGCTTAATTGTACTAAATTGTATTTAATTGTACTCAATTGTATTTAATTGTACTCAATTGCATTTAATAGTACTCAATTGTGCTTAGTTGTACTAAATTGTATTTAATTGTACTCAATTGCATTTAATTGTACTCAAATGTATTTAATTGTACTCAAATTTACTTGATTGCATTTAATTGTACTCAATTGTACTTAAATGTTCTCATTGTCCTCATTAACGCATTTTCTTTCGGGTTTTTAGTAATTTATAAAAATTGATTCTTGAGAGCAGAGATAAGAAAGTGCAGAGATATATCAAATGCTATATATATTTATATATGTGATATTTTCTACAACATGTTCCATTTTGTATAACTTGAGTTCACGATGTACTTGACCAATATTCAGGGATATTTAAGGATCCTTTAGATATGAAACAAAAACTTTCAAAAATAGACTAAATTCATAAAGTTTATGTTTTTTATGTTTAAATCAGAGTATTTCTTAAAAATTTGTAAAACTTAACCCCTGAATGGCTATTTTATGCAACAAGATGTGGTTAGATGGCAGTCAAAAACATTTTGCAAGAATACAGCATGTCGTGCTGGTACGACTTTAGGCCATACTTAGCTCAGTCCGTAAAAGCTGATTAGACGTCTGTATATATTTATCTATCTAGTCTGCGCTTGAGTGGAAGCCTTCAGAATGGGCAATACATCCCTGTGTTTTTTTAAAGAGCGAATTTGTGCTCTGTCTTGGCAATTATACACCGTGAAAACGTTTTATGGGTATATATATAGATAGGTTAGGCCAGGATAGATAAAAAGAACAGGACAAAATAGAACAGGACTAAATAGAACAGTTCTAAATAGAACAGTTCTAAATAAAACGTTTTTCAATAGAACAGGACTAAATAGAACCGAACTGAATAGAACAGAACTAAATAGAATGGGACTAAATAGAACAAAACTAAATAGAACAAAACTAAATAGAACCGTTCTAAATAGAACAGTTCTAAATAGAACAGTTCTAAATAGAACAGTTCTAAATAGAACAGTTCTAAATAGAACAGTTCTTAATAGAACAGTTCTAAATAGAACAGTTCTATATAGAACAGTTCTAAATAGAACAGTTCTTAATAGAACAGTTCTAAATAGAACAGTTGTAAATAAAACAGTTCTAAATAGAACAGTTCTAAATATAACAGGACTAAATAGAATTCAGGATTAAATAGAACAAAACTGAATGGAACAGGGCTAATAAGAACAAAACTAAATAGAACAGGACTAAATAGAACAGTTCTAAATAGAACAGGAATAAATAGAGCAGGATTAAATAGAACAAAACTAAATAGAACAGGACTAAATAGAACAGTTCTAAACAGAACAGTGCTAATAGGAACAGAGCTAAATATAAGAGGGTCAAATATAACAGGACTGAATAGAACAAAGCTCAATAGAACAGGACTTAATAGAATAGGAATGAAAAAACATAGAACTGGACTAAATATAACAGGACTAAACAGAACAGGACTGAACAGAACAGGATCAAATAGAACAGGACTGAATAGTACAGGATTAAATAGAACAAAACTAAATAGAACAGGACTAAATAGAACAGGATTGAATAGAAAACGACTAAATATAACAGGAATAAAAAGAACAGGAGTAAAAATAAGAGGACATAATAGAACATTACTAAATAGAACAGGGCTAATTAGAACAGGGCCAAATAAAACATAACTAAATAGAACAGGACTGAATAGAACATGACTAAAAAAACAGGACTGAAAAGAACAGGACTAATTATAATAGGACTAAATAGAACAATTTTAAATAGAACAGGACTGAATAGAACAGGACTACATAGAACAGGACTGAACAGAACAGGACTGAACAGAACAGGACTGAACAGAACAGGACTAAATAGAATAGGGCTAACAAGATCAAATAGAACAGGGCTAAATAGAATAGAATTAAATAGAACAGGACTAAACATAACAGGACTAAATAGAACAGGGTTAAATAGAACAAGATCAAATAGAACAGGACTAAATAGAATAGAATTAAATAGAACAGGATTAAATAGAACAAGACTAAATAGAACAGGACTAAACATAACAGGAATAAATAAAACAGTTTTAAATAGAACAAGACTAAATAGTACAGGACTAAATAAAACAGGACTTAACAGAACAGGACTAAATAGAACAGGACTAAATAGAACAGAACTAAATAGAACAGGACTAAATAGAACAGGACTAAATAGAACAGGACTAAATAGAACAGGACTAAATAGAATAGGAATAAAAAGAACAGGATTAAACATAACAGGACTAAATAGAACAGAGCTAAATAAAACAGGACTAATAGGACAGGACCAAATAGAACAGGACTAAATATAATAGGACTAAACTAACTCTAACTAACTGAGTATCATATTTTAAATAAATTAATGGAAAAGGGCAAAATTAAGTAATTAATTAAAATTTCAGTTTTGCATAATGAGTTTGGTCGACCACAAGGGAAACTAGGAATTTGAAAAAATATTTGAAAAATTTTGCAAGAATTAAAATGGAAAATGAAAATATTCTCTTTATTAATATTGTCTGTTTAGTGTATAATTATCTATAATAAAATGTTAATATTCTCTTTCTTAATGTATAATTGCTTAGGATAAAATGTTAATATTCTCTTTCTTAATGTATAATTGTCTTTAATCAAATGTTAATATTCTCTTTCTTAATGTATAATTGTCTTTAATCAAATGTTAATATTCTCTTTCTTAATGTATAATTGTCTTTAATCAAATGTTAATATTCTCTTTCTTAATGTATGATTGTCTTGAATCAAATTTTAATATTCTCTTTCTTAATGTATAATTGCTTTGAAAAAGTGTTCATTTTATTGAGATAAAGCCCTTGAAATATGGACATCTAAAAACGACAATATTTATTGAAATTTAAACAAATTTTTTTACGGCACATGATTGCAATATGAAACCTCCCAAGCTCCTTAATGGAGCCGATTAAAGGTATTCCTGAAACCAAGAAATATAAAAAATTGTCTTTACAAAGCTAAATGACTCAAATAGTTTTTACACAGTAGGACTCGTAAAACTGTGGAAACATCAAATAAATATAAAATTGGTTGAATGTCGTCTTCCTATTCCACAGTTTTATTAGCCCCATTGTATGAAGGAAGTACACTTTAACCATGAAAGCTCAAAACTAATTACTTAAACTTCATTAAAATTTACTACAGTCATAATCAGAAAGCTCCGTAATTAATTTACAGTTAATGAGGCGACTTTATAGTTTAAAAATATATCTCCAGCAAATTCAAATGCTCAAAAAAGGCAGACCACATTTTGGAAATGGCAGGAATAGGACTATTTAGTGATAATCATTTTATGAATCATATTTGCAAAATTAGATTGTAAAATCGTCTGATTAATTGTAAATAATTAATTTAGGGTCTTTCTATAAATTATGACTAAATATGAAGCGTAAAAAGGTAGCAATTAATTGTATCAAAGAAAAACAGTTTAATTTCATTTGTGAATATTGAATAGGTATATAATCAAAACATATTGAAACAGAATGGAATTCAATCCATTTTCAGGGATTTGTGACAATAACTGTTTCTTTTCTAAAATTTATAAATAAACTTTAAATGTTTAGGTGGAGTGCAGGGGTCCCCAATAGGGGAGAGGGGATCTGGCCCCTACTAAGAAATGAAGATCAGGTAACATAAAAATTAAATTTTAATTTTAAAATGAAAAATTTAATAAGTTATATTTGTTTTTAGACTGATTGCACTCTCACTCTTGTTTATACTAATAGCTCCAGTAAACCCCTACATCATGCTATGTAAGATACTTTTTGCTATTTTTTTTAAATAGTTTATTTTTCATCGTCATACATCATCTGTTTTCTTCGAAATTTTTCTCTTCTAAACTCTGAAATGGACAGACAACTTTTAGAATCAAGTTATGAGTATAAGTAGTCCTAGGATTGTGGGACACAGCAGTTGTGCAGTGTAAACAGACCCATTTCACTCAATTAGTGATTTAGTATTCGTCTTGTAAAATTATTTGCTTTGTAACAACATCAAATACACTTCAGTATTGCTATAAAGTCGTCGCCCTTTTTCAGAATTTTCTGGTTTTCACTGTATTCTGCTTTTTTATTCCCAATTACTATTCTGTTCTTTTTCAAATTTATTAATCTGTTTTTTAACTTGCAGATATGTTCTCTCTTTTTTTTAAATTATCAGTATTTAAAATATTCTATTCGACATTAGCCTATAACTACTTTCCTCAATGAATGATAAATTTAAAAAAAAAACAAGGAAATTATATTCATCTCTCATCAGGCACAAACTTTAAAGGTACTGTTGTGAATCAGATAACCTACTCTGTAAATGAAGTGTCACTAAAAATTATGTCGACAGTGGTGGTGGGACCATTTAGCACGTTTGTGATAAAAAAAAACTTAAAACCATTTTGCTCGCGTCAGAGAAGGGTTCTGCATTATCTCTCAAGTCAGCCAAATATAAGAAATTAAGAATCACAAACCAGAGGTTCTTTTTAGTTCTAGAACATAGCTTAATAAGGGGTTTTAATTTCATCCGAGCCTGTGATTGTGACTTCCATGACTGAGGTGGCTGAGTTGAAAAAGAATGATCCAAAAGTGAATAAATGTCAGATTTGTTTTTCACACAACGTTTTTGCGTAGATAAATTTCCTAGCGGAAGCGAAATCGGGTAAAAACAAATTAAGCAATCATTGAATTTAAAATCGTAGAAGTAGTAACATTTTATAAGACTTTTTTCAGACAATTTTCAACAATTTTCAAAACATTAAAAACTTTAAAATGACCAGTAGTTAGTGGGTTGAGGCACAACTTTTGATAAAATTGAAAATTCGACCAACTTTGTTGATCTCTGATTTTGTTTAACCCTAAACAGGCTGGAGGAGCGTTTGGCCCCCCCCTGTAGTTCTTTTTGTTCTAGCCCTCTCATTTTTGACACTATCACCGTGAAATTTGTGACTTTCAATAAATATTAATTTAAAGGATTTTTTGTTAAAAAATTTTAATTTGGGTAGGGTAAAAGGTGGAAAAAAGTCCGGTCTGTGAAAAACAAAATCTAAAATAGCCCATAACTTTTTTGTGACTAAAGCTACAGATCTAAAAACTTTATTTTTGTAAAGCCCTTGAAAAATTCATGTAGAAACAAGAGTCATTTTTTATATATTTGTTTAAAACAAAAAAATATTTTTTTCATTTTTTCACTCTTTATAGGCATTTTTTTCCACCCTCCCTAGCATCTAAACTATTAAAGTTATAGGTCTAATTTTATTCTCTGAGCTGCCATAAAAAATTGGGCTATGGACATGCACTTCAACCCTATACTTATTCTCTAAGGCCTTTTTCTAGGGGGGGGGGCGCCAAACACCCCCCCCCAGGCTATATGTAAATTCAGACCCCCAGCCTTTGTAGGGTCAAACGGTTTCGCTGACCTGTCTTTAAAAAATCAAAAAAATAAACATCACAATTTTTGTTGTAGGTTTGATTGAACATTTTTTGTGGCGTACTAATATTTTTTAAAACTGTCAAATAAACTTCGAATGTTTGACAAAAATCTGTTCTCTGAACTCGAAGCTTCTCTAGTTTTAATTTATACGCCAAAGTATGAGGAAAGGATATTTTGAAGCCTGACGGTGAAACCCTTCTATATTTCAAAATAGATTTTTGTATCAGCATAAGTCATAGTTTAAAATATTTAGGGCGTCGTGTATAACATTGTGTTGTAAAGATACATTCGTTAATAATTTGTGTTTGTGCAAAAACTGAAAAAAATAAGAATCACAGATTCAAAGTTAAAGATTAATTTAATTCTGTCCATATAGACCCTCAGAAATCAAATCCCTTAGTAAATTACCTTCATGTTTATTGGTTCTAACTGTAAATATATTTCAGCAACTAAGCTGACCTGCTTCTCTGAGGCCCAGGGGGATAAGAGTAAGGATTGCGACAAAACTAGAGGATTCAGAACATGCTTTACCAGATACGATAGTAGTGAGTATTGTTTTATTCATTATTTTGATTGCAGGTATACATGCAGACAGGTAGAAAGGTAGACAAGTAGACAGGTAGACAGGTAGACAGACGCGAACCGTTTTCCACAAAAATGTAGACTTTAGAGTTGTATGTTGTAACTTTATTACTTAAAAAGAATAGGCTGTTTTAAACATTTTTTCAACGGAACTTTCTGAACTTTTTAAACTCATTCAAAATGAAAGAGATAGAAATTAGAACATTACAATTAAAGAGTTGTAGTGCAAAAAATTAGAAGTCTTCTTTTTGTTTGTTTGTCTATGAATTTATCCAACTAGCTTTATATAAGATTTAATAGACGCCAATTACCATTTCATTCAGCTGTCTGAGATTAGAAACAATAAAGACGACTTTTTATTAATAATTCTTTGATCCTTAATAAGCCTTTTTCAAAGTACAAGCCTACAAATAAACAAAGAGAAGCTGTTTTTTTTACAACAAGTATTTTTGCTGTTTAAAAGCTTGGTAAAAATTTGAATAGAAAGCCATCTTAATTGTTTTACTAAATCAGACAACAACTGTATCTCTTGTTATGTGATTGTATCAGACGAAAATAACAAGATGTAATAGACGCCATTTGCATTTCATACTGTGGTCAAGTGTTTGTATCTGATGATTGAAACACACTAAAATGACAGCCGTTTGCTTTTTTAAACTGCGGTTATGTGTTTGTATATATCTACTGATCAAAACTCACTAAAATGGTAGCCATCTGCTTTTTCATCCTCATGGTCTCTTTCTCTTGGTTGTATTAAAGAGTTTATTTCTACATTAATTTCAAAGTAAATGTAAAGAAAATTCTAAAGGGGAATATTTTCCTGAATTCTTCCAACTTTCTTGTAAAGAATCAAGCCGCGATATCAAAGACTACAAAAGGAATTAACTTCTATTCATTTGTTTTGAACTTCTTTTTATAATTTTTCGGTGAAAGTAAAAAAAGTAAAAATATTACGCTTTTGTTTATTTTTAGACGAGAAGGTTACTGGAAGGGGTTGCTCAACAAAAAAGTCTAGCTTCAAGGATTGTCTCAAAACAATTAATAACACTGATTAAAACAAATTTTTAACTATGATGATGTATAGCATGACTTAAAGAGAAAAGAACTTGTTAGTTTGAATGAATCTAAATATAATCCTTTACTCAAATTTATCAAAAATTTAATCTAAATTGGTATTCAGTCAGCGTGCATTTGATTTGATTGAAAAACGTAACATTACAAAATTGAATTTACAAATCGTAATTTGTCCAGTATTTTAACATTTTTTATGAGAAGATATCGATTGAACACTTGCTGTAAACATAATAAGAGAATTTATGAAAAAAAACCCGCAAAATACTAAATTTAATAGATTAGAGACATGTTTTAGGAGTGTGAGACGCACAGCTATGGAGAGGTTACGGAAAAGTTTTGCTACTGTACTGAGCATCATTGTAATCAATCCAATTCATTTCAACCATCCTCCCTCATCATTGTACTCTCCCTTTTCTTTATCCTTACCTTTCCATTCCATTGCAGCAACCCTAGTCAGTCCCATATCAACAGCAGTACACAACACAACTCAAGGCATCTAGTGACCAAATCTAGAACTTCTAATTTCAAAATGGCCGCAAGAACGGAAAGCTTAGAACAGCTGCTCGTGCTTCAGTGAAGAATGCACACAAGCACTAGTGATTTAAGAAAAGTTAGATTTTGTTTAAAACAGAAACAACCAATGCCGATAAAGATCAAGTTAGAAAATATTTTTTTGTGTGTGTTAACCTTTGTGAATAAATATATCTCAATTCTTGAGAACTTTAAAGAGACATGACTCCCGTCGTTATGCAAATCAAGTCATTGTGTTTAAATTCAAATTTTACCGGAAGTTTAAAAGTATATTTTACCTACGTTTTCCTGACATTCTATTTTAGTATAATTGTCTAGTTTGAATAATATGTATAAAACTTTAGAACATAAAGGCATTACTCAGATCTTTGGTTTATGTGGGCTGATTAAATTGATTATAACATGCTTATTTTTTCTTAGAAATTTATATTTTTTCAATATTCATTTTAGAAGTTATCTTTAATTCAATGTGAATTTTAACATTAAAATTATTATACAGAAATGTTAGCCTGCATGTAACCAATAATCTGAGAAAAAGATACGTTGGTTTAGATAAAATACTTTCATTTACACATTTTTAAAATTTAAAATCAATATTTTAATCTGTTACACCAAAAAAAAACTCTTTTCTACTCGACAAATTAACCCTCTCCCATTCCCCCAACATAAGAATGAATAAAAAAATCTTTGTATTTTGTTGTTCGTTGTAGTTTAAAATATTGTTGAAAATAACAAAATTTAACCGTGTTTTTACTTACTGAACATTTATACAGAATTAGCTTTGTCTCTTCAAGTCAATGTTTTTAATTTTTAAACTGATTAATTTTAATTCCTTTTTAATTTAATTTTAAATTTTAATTGTAGTTTCTCTCCAAAATTGCGCATTCAATTCCTAATGCAGGAAAACATGTAGGAATTATCAAAATTTTAAACCTAGAAAAGCGACAATATCTTCCACATCGTTGATCAGATAAAGGTTTTAAGGGTACTGAAGTGGATCTGGCTTGGCATGGAGGGTCACTTGAAATAACGCGTTACAGTCTCTTTACATACAAATGACTTCAGTCTTTCAGTTTTTAAACTTCACATTATTAAAAATGAATTATACTAAACATAATGTTTCACGTTTTGGTAGTTAAAATACGCTGAACAATCTATATATATATATACTTAGCTTGGGTGTCTGGTTGTTTGTTTGTTTGTATCCTATAAACGTCAAAACGGATAACCGATCGGTCCCAAATTTTTTGTGGGACCTCAGGAAAGATTTATTGATGATCGAATTTTCAAAGATTTGAAAATTTTGAAAATTATTTTGATAAAATCCGCGAAATGTTTTGTTTGCTTTGTTGTACAAACTGGTATACCTTTGTCTGGGAAACTTGGAAACTAGCAAACAAGCAAAGCTCTACTCCTTGGAAAGCTCTATCTGTGAAACAAGGAAACCTCTATCTAGGAAATTAGGAAATCTCTATTTGTGTAACAAGGAAACCTCTATCTGGGCAACTACGAAACCTCTATCAGGAAACAAGGAAACCTCTATCTGGGCAACTAGTAAACCTCTATCTGGAAACTGGAAACAAGGAAACCTCTATCTGGGCAACTAGAAAACCTCTATCTGGAAACAAGGAAACCTCTATCCGGGCAACTAGAAAACCTCTATCTGGAAACTGGAAACAAGGAAACCTCTATCTGGGAAACTAGGAAACCTCTATCTGGAAACAAGGAAACCTCTATCTGGGCAACTACGAAACCTCTATCTGGAAACAAGGAAACATCTATCTGGGCAACTAGTAAAGCACTATCTGGAAACAAGGAAACCTCTTTCTTGTCTATGAAACTTTAATCCGGGAAATTAGGAAGTTAGGGGACTTTTACTTTTTAAAGGTTACCCAAGACCAATTTTGCCTACAAAACATCCAGACCGCAGCAGAGAGGAACGCCCACTCTACTGAAGTATTTGAATCAGTTTTATTGTTGTACAGTATACACTGTACATATACCGGTTTACAATCAGGATTCTATGTATATAATTTATCCTTCTCCAGGGTCCCTGCAGTACAGTAAGGAGTATAAGACCAATACAATAATAAACCACCCTTTTTAGTTTTACCAGATAAATGAAGAAAAAAGTTTAAACATTGTAATTAAAATTTAATGAGGGTTTAAAACTCTGTTTAAAACATATATAAAGTCTGTAGATCAAACACATTTGAATAATTTAGTTTTCAAGGATTTCCTGTAAAGACCAACTTCAAATAGAAACCGTATACATAGGGCCGTTTCGGTAACCGGAAGTTAAAGAAAATCCACGAAAATTACTATAAACAACAAAATGAACAGTTTCGTGAACTTGTATGATCAAAATTCATTAAAAAAAAAAACAGATTTTTTTTAGAGAAAGAAGTGCACTACTAAAGTACGCAGCCCTTCTCAGATACAATTTTAGAAATTAACCTAAAGTTTTAAATATTTTCAAAAGAAAGTTGATGGGGGGTTAATTTTCATTTGATTTACTTTGTAACCAGGCGCTGTTGATTTTGTTTTATAACTGAACTAGCCTTATAGGGCGCTTCGCGTCCATCTTCTAAATTAATTGTGAACATGTTCTCTTTTGTACATCGTAAAACAAAACAAAAATAATTCGCGGATTTTCACAAAAAATTTTGTGGATTTTTAAAATTTTCAAGTTTAATAAAGATCAAATTTTGATGGAGAAAAATATTTGAAATTTTGATCATTCATAAACCTACCCTGTGATGTCCCACAAAAAATTTTGGCCCGATCGGTTTAGCCGTTTTTACGTTTATTGGATACAAACAAACAGACAGACAGACAAACAGACACCCAGACAGACAAGCCAAATTTATATATAGATTACAGGGCAGTGTACTCATGATGAGTACTCCTTACTTTGTTGGTTTATACTGAATTATTATTATAATTTGTTCTTTAAAAAGGTTAGGATGGTTTATAGTGTACTCATTAATATGCAAATGTACACTGTGTTACGCGTCTCTAACTCAAATGTTCTGCCTTATCTCATTGCAACCTGACGTTGTATACCTGGACATTTCAAACTAAAGATCAAATTGTCAAATTTTAAAAATAAAAGGTTGAAACCGTTAGATTGCCAAAATATAGGAAATCGAAAGCGAGCGTTTAAGGGGAATTATCATTCCTTTTCATTTAAAAAAGTCATTGATAGTCAATTTTATATGGATGAAAGTACATGTCTTACATGATGTAATGTTAATGATACGAAAATAGGTAGGGAATACAAATATTAAGGTTCGGGTTTCAAAATAATCTTGAAATTATATCCTACGTAAGGAATAAAAAAATAAAAATTAAATTTTTCATCTTCACATTTTGGTTTATCATGTTNACATCAAAACGGGGGGATTATACAAATATCAAACTTTATTTCTGTCCAACTAAATCAGCTCAGATTTCAATTACTTTCTCAATAAATTTTATTTCAGCAAAGTTTTAAAAGAAAAAGAAAATGTTTCAGCTGGAAATCTGTCTCAGTTTTGTGCCTTCTAAATAATAAAGCTCTTTGCTCACATATATTAATATGTTGGGTATAGCTGGCCAAACACCTGGACCAAATTTCCCGACATTTTTTAAGGAAATTCCTGGGGTAACAAAGGCTAAATAAATTTGAATTTTTTTTTCAAAATTAGATCTTTTCTCAATATTATAATTTGTTTAATTAAACGAGCAACTCCGGTCACTTTAGTTAGTTATATTATGATACTTGATATATTATAATATTTGAGTGGTTCACCAGCAAATTCAATTTTTGTTAGCCCTGAGACAGGATTTTATAAATTGGACTGAACGCTTCGCGTCCATNAAAATATCAAAGTATAGGGATCAGACAATGTGTATTCGTTGCAAGAACTAATGGTTCAATTAAAAAAGAAAAAATGTAACGCCTTAATTTAAAACAAGAAATATTATATAGCAAGTTGTTAAAAATGCCAAAAAATAAGTGTGTTGCCTTTAATAGAAAATATTTAATCAAATCTCACGTATTTACGATTTATAATAAACCCTCAATATGTCTAGCAGACACAGAGCTCCTAATGTCTACGATATTGAGTTCAAAAGGTTTGTAAATCAGGATTCAGAATATGTGGCAAAGACTCAATTCCTTTCTAGTTTCAACTGTTTTTTTTACATCAATTGTAAAAATAAATGAATAATATCAACATATACATATATGTTACCCTTGTTGTATGCTTGATATAAAACTAAATGCAGAAAATCTTGTTATTTATGGTATCATATTTTCAAGTTAGATTTTATCCCCCAGCTTTATCTTCATGTTTTTATTCCGGGTTCGAATATCAGATTTTAGACATAACTCTCATACCATTTACTACAGTCAGTCTAACCATACAGTGAGAATCAGAAAACAGTGGAATTCTACTAGTCATCTTTTTCCTTTCGTAATTTGCTGCTGAACTTATTCTAAAGAATTAAGGATTCTAAATATTTTTAAAGATATTTAAGTTACAACAAATGCAAATTACAAAATTCCTGAACAGTTCTTCAGTAAGATGAAGAATAAAGACGACATTATTATTTAGTTTTCTGGTTCTAACTTTGGATAACACAGATGGATCAAGATTATCTTGTTCACGAATTTCTTGACATGTCAACTGTAAAACGAACTTTTTTCTTGTATTACAATTATTTTTCAGTGTTAAGTATTCACTGTTCAGTATTAAGTGTTAATTCAGATTCAGTGTTCAGAATTTACTGTTCAAAATTCACTGTTTAGTATTTACTGTTCAGTATTGACTGACCAGTATTCGCTGTTCAAAGTGTTCACTGTTCACAGTTTTCACTATTCACAGTATTCACTATTCACAATATTCACTGTTCACACTATTCACTGTTCAGTATTCACTGTTCAGTATTCACTGTTCAGTGTTCACTGGTCAGTATTCACTGTTCAGTATTCACTGTTCAGTATTCATTGTTCACAGTATTCACTATTCAGTATTCACTGCTTTGTATTCACTGTTCAGTATTCACTGTTCAGTATTCACTGTTCACAGTATTCACTATTCAGTATTCACTGTTCAGTATTCACTGTTCAGTATTCACTGTTAAGAATTCACTGTTCAGTATTCACTGTTCATTATTCACTGTTAAGTATTCACTGTTCAGTATTCACTTTCAC